CTCTCGATAATGGTAACTGGGTGGCGGATAGAGCAGGAATGGCGGCCATACAAGTCATGGGCAGGTATCCCATACAACAAGTGGTGGCAAGCTCATATGAAGGTTTCGTGATCGCCAAAATCAATGGAATCTTTGTATGTAGTTGCTACGCACCCCCGAGATGGACAATTGAGCAGTTCCACCAGATGCTAGATGGGCTCACCGAAGAGCTCATTGGACGGAGACCAGTCTTCATCGCAGGAGACTTCAATGCTTGGGCAGTGGATTGGGGGAGCAGATGTACCAACGCAAGAGGGTATAGCCTGCTGGAAGCTCTGGCAAAGTTGAACGTCAGTCTGGCCAACGAAGGAACCATCAGCACCTTCCGCAAAGATGGTAGGGAATCCATTATCGACGTCACTTTCTGCAGTACGTCGCTAATGGCAAATATGAACTGGACGGTGTGCGAGGAGTACACCCATAGTGACCATCAGGCGATCCGGTACAGTATCGGCGAACGAACACCGGTGGAAATGCGGAGGACGAAAGTAAGCGAGCGGAAGTGGAAGACGAAGGCATTCAATAAGGATCTCTTCATCGAAGCTCTAAGGGTAGACAACAGCGTCCCGGGCCTAAGCGCGAATGAGTTGACCGAATTATTAGCAAGGGCATGTGACACAACTATGCCGAGAAAACTGGAGCCAACGAACAGGCGGCGTCCAGCCTACTGGTGGAACGAGGAAATTAGCACCCTCCGTGCTACTTGTCTTCTAGCCAGAAGGCGTGCTCAGAGAGCAAGAACAGAAGCAGACAGAGAGGAGCGCAGGGTGGTGTTCCGAGAGGCCAGGGCTGCACTGAAACGAAAGATAAAGCTGAGCAAGTCAAATAGTTTCAAGGAGTTGTGCCGCGATGCCGATGCCAACCCCTGGGGCAACGCATACCGAGTTGCGATGGCGAAGATCAGAGGCCCAACGATGCCGGTTGAAATGTGTCACAACAAGCTGAAAGTCATCGTGGAGGGACTTTTCCCACAGCATGACCCAACGAACTGGCCACCTACACCATATGGCGAGGTAGATGAAGACAACGTTGAACAAGTCTCCAACGAGGAACTCATAGCAGCAGCGAAAGGGTTGAAAGCGAATAAAGCTCCCGGCCCGGATGGAATTCCCAACGTGGCGTTGAAGGCGGCGATCCAGACGTTCCCGGACATGTTCAGGATGGTGCTGCAGAAATGTCTGGACGATGGTCAGTTCCCTGATAGGTGGAAGGTACAAAAGCTTGTGCTGTTGCCGAAGCCCGGAAAACCGCCGGGGGATCCTGCATCGTATAGGCCAATATGCTTGCTGGATACTGTAGGAAAGCTCTTAGAGAGGATCATCCTCAACAGGCTGACGAAATGCACGGAGAGTGAACACGGATTGTCGGAGAGACAGTTTGGATTCCGGAAAGGGAGATCGACGGTGGATGCAATTCGGACAGTGATTGACAGAGCCGAGAAAGCTTCCAAACAGAAGCGGAGAGGAAATCGATACTGCGCCGTGATTACGATCGATGTCAAGAATGCATTCAATAGCGCCAGCTGGGAGGCCATCGCCAAGGCGCTCCATAGAATGAGGGTTCCAGGCTACCTCTGCAGGATTCTAAGTAGTTATTTCCAGAACCGGGTCCTTGTCTACGTGACAGACACGGGGCAGAAATCGCTTAGAATCACGGCGGGGGTTCCCCAAGGCTCCATTCTAGGTCCCACGCTGTGGAACGGAATGTACAATGGCGTGCTGACGCTCAAGCTGCCCAAAGGAGTTGAGATCGTTGGCTTTGCGGACGATGTCGTCTTGACGGTAACCGGTGAGACGCTGGAAGAAGTGGAAATGTTGGCGGCTGAGGCGATAGATACGATTGGTAACTGGATGCAAGGAGCGAAGCTGCAGATAGCCCACCACAAAACAGAAGTGATGTTGGTCAGTAACTGCAAAGCAGTGCAGCGGGCAGAAATTACCGTTGGAGAGCACACCATTGCTTCGAAGCGCATGCTTAAGTATCTGGGAGTAATGATCGACGACCGGCTAAACTTTAATAGCCACATCGAATATGCTTGCGAGAAGGCGACGAAGGTCATCAACGCAATAGCCAGAATCATGCCGAACAATTCTGGTCCAAGCAGCAGCAAGAGACGTCTTCTGGCTAGTGTTTCCTCATCAATACTAAGGTACGGAGGTCCAGCCTGGATTGAAGCGCTGAAAACGAAGCAGAACCAAAGGAAATTGAGCAGTACGTTCCGGCTCATGGCCATGCGAGTCGTGAGTGCGTACAGAACCATTTCGATGGAGGCAGTATGCGTTATCGCCGGTATGATCCCAATCGGCATCACCTTGGCGGAGGACTACGAGTGCTATATGACGAGAGAAACCAGAGGAGTACGAAAAATGGTGAGAACGGAGTCGATGGCTAAGTGGCAGCAGGAGTGGGATGCAGCAGAGAACGGTAGATGGACACACAGGCTAATACCGACTCTTTCGACCTGGGTGAACAGGAAGCATGGAGAAGCCAACTTCCACTTGACGCAGTTCCTGTCTGGTCATGGCTGCTTCAGGAAGTACCTGCATCGGTTCGGACACACAACGTCACCCTTCTGTCCGGAGTGTGGGAATGTGGAAGAATCACCAGAGCACGTGGTTTTCGAATGTCCTAGATTTGATGATGTGCGAGAGGATATGCTCGCCCTTAGCACGGAGAATGTCGTCGAAGAAATGTGTCGAGAGGAGGGCACCTTTAACGCCGTCAGCAGAGCAGTAACGCAGATCATGTCAGCGCTGCAGCGAAAATGGCGGGAAGACCAACTAGAAAGTAGTAATGTGCTCACACAAGTGCGAACTGAAAGCCGAAGCCGGGAGAACTCTCCGTCAGAGTAGGCTGTATCCACCACCAGGGATAACCGAGTAGAACGTGACGCTGGGAGATAAATGGCTCACAAATTGGAGAGACGATCAGCGAACTGGAAGCGCCAATTAGCTGAGGTAAAGTGAGGTGCGTAATGCACGGCCCCCTCCGAAGTAATACGACAAGTGGTTCCGGGGGAAAAGGGCAAGGCGTCTAAGGAGGTTTTAGTGCGGTAAGAATCCCACACACCGTGTCACCGCGACTGTGCGCCCAGTCGTCAAGCGGTGGCACGATGGCCTTTTTGAAGGTTTCCTCCTTGCCAAAAAAAAAAAAAAAAAACACACACACACACACACACACACACACACACACACACACACACACACACACACACACACACACAGGGCAGAAATCACCGTCGGGGAGCACACCATAGCCTCGAAGCGTGTGTTAAAATACCTGGGAGTGATGATCGATGACCGGCTAAACTTCAACAGCCACGTCGAATATGCCTGTGAGAAGGCTTCGAAGGCCATCAACGCGATAGCTAGAATTATGCCGAACAACGCTGGTCCCAGCAGTAGCAAGAGGCGTCTTCTGGCCAGCGTGTCATCATCGATACTGAGATATGGAGGTCCAGCCTGGGTTCCAGCGCTGGAAACGAAGCAGAACCAAAGGAAACTGAGCAGTACGTTCCGGCTCATGGCCATGCGAGTCGTGAGTGCGTACAGAACCATCTCGTCGGAAGCAGTATGCGTTATCGCAGGTATGATCCCTATTGGCATCACCCTGGCGGAGGACAGCGAGTGCTACAGGCGGAGAGAAGCCGGAAGAGTACGGAAAGTTGTGAGAGTGGAGTAATTGGCTAAGTGGCAACAGGAGTGGAACACGACGGAGAACGGTAGATGGACACATAGACTAATACCGATTCTTTCGACCTGGGTGAACAGAAAACACGGAGAAGTCAATTTCCACCTAACGCAGTTCCTGTCTGGCCACGGCTGCTTCAGGAAATACCTGCATCGGTTCGGACACGCAGCGTCACCCCTCTGTCCGGAGTGTGGCAATGTCGATGAAACGCCGGAGCATGTGGTCTTCGACTGTCCAAGGTTCGAGGCAGTGCGAACGGAGATGCCCGTCCTTAACGTGGAGAATGTCGTCGTTGAAATGTGTCGAGAGGAGGGCACTTGGAATGCCGTCAGCAGGGCAGTCACGCAGATTATGTCGAGAAGAGCAGCGATCTAGCAACCCCAGCTAGCGCTGAGAGTACGACAAGTGCATGAGCACAGCCACCCCCCGAAGTAGTCGCTTCACAGTGGTCCCGGGGGGATCCAGGCAGAGGAGAAAGTAAGGAATGGGTTTTAGTGGAGCTGCACTAGGCAACTACTGGATACCACACCGTGCCAACTTCACTACAGGCCTGGCTTCTTGAAGCTTTCCTAAACCTTACTAAAAAAAAACACACACACACACACACACGTTTTCAATAATCAAACGTCATGATTACCTGGGTTTTGTCAAACAAGGTAAATATTTACATTGCTTGTACCAAAGAATTGGCAGTGTTGCTAGAAATCACCTAGGCATAGGTTGCCAAGGCAGTTTGTTTTGAATACGCTCCTCTCTTATGATAGACCCTCTCTAGTAATTCCCACACAAGAAAAATAGGCATGGGCAACCTGTGCGAAACAATAACTGAGCTATTATGTTTTGTACAGGAGTCAAAATGCACAATAGTTTACCACAAATAATTAAAAACTAGTAAATTAAAATCTAAATATTCATCTAATGAAAAAACATTTTTAATTTTCCAGCTGAATGGTGCCACCTATCACGCCACCGTGGACACGTCCTGTGGTGGAGTGGGCCGCAACATTGCCGAAGGAATCTGGAAAATCTTTGGCAACGTCAATCTGATTTCGGCCGTTGGAAATGATCAAGTGAGTACAGCAGCAAGCAAACATGCCAGCAGGGCTTCCAACCCAATTTTGTTCTTGTGGACGGACGGTGATAATTTCAACAGCTGCCAAAAGCATTCCCACCATCTCACCCGGAGCCAAACTGGTTCCGCAAATGTTTATTTTTATCTGATTCCAATTATTCATCCCCTTTCCCTGTCGTCGTATCGTTGATAGAACGGAGATTACATAAAACGACTGCTGCCAAACCACTGCGGGGCATCGATTCTCACCGCTGGCGACCATCCAACGGCCAACTGTTCCGTCCTGCTGGACAACAACGGAGACTGCAAGCTGGTCGTGGGGGACATGTCCGTCCACAATGCCATCAGCACCAACTGGGTAAGGTTTTCAGACCACCACCGCAGCCGATATCAATCAATCAACAAATTTATTTTTGATGTGGCTAGAGCTAGAACCCTCGTATCGCTAAACCGTCAACGTTAATCGCCGTTCCGACTCGGATTGATGGGCGCAATAAATTTGTTATCATAAAAATGCAACCGCAGCGATTGAAAGCCACCGAAACTTTGTTTTCGAATTAAAGCGCTAAACATTTCATTGTGCGTGAAAATTGCGTAGCGCTATGTAGAAGGGTACAACTCAGTTTCATTAGTCAACCAATCACAACCGGTCGTTGGGTTGGGTTGACCTCGGCAATTGGATGCTAATTTAAACATTTTGTTTTATTCATTCAAACAGATCAATACGCACGCAAAACTAATTCAGGACGCTCCACTGGTGATAATTGATGCCAACATAAGCGAGGAAGCAATGAAGGCGACTTTCGATTTGTGTTTGCAGTACGATAAACCAGGTTAGTGGAAAATATGTTAGATCCGTAAATTTATTTGGAATGTTCCGATGCCGAAGATGGTCCATAACTGAACCATAAAGGACCCTTTTTCTCGGGGATCATTATTGTTATTATCATTATTTGAGGGACTTTCAGCCGTAGTTTAGGAAATCTTAGAAATAGGGTGAAAACTCCAGAGGGGAGACTTCCCAAATTGCAGAGATTTTTTTTTTGTGTTTCACAGAGTTATGGAATGACGGGTTGCGTGTCGATGTGTCGAGTCTGTTGTCCTTTTTTCGTTATCATCGTATGTGGGTCACGGTAATGCTAGTTGTTGTCAGTGCACAGTGGTTCAGAAATGCAATCTAGTGGAACAAAAGCTGACACGCACAAGGGGAAATCAACTCTACACACTGTGCCGAAACACAGTACGGCGCACTCTCCAGTACGTAGGGCATACGTTGACAAGTATGACACAAACAATATTATATAAAACGGCAGCACTGTTGAGTTTTGCCAATCATACTCATTACTATGATTACTGCTTTGTTTACTTCAGATACTGAAAAAAATAGAAAAACATTCTATGGACAGTTGACTTTCGATCACACCCCTGGTGAACCATTATCCAGACCGAATCATCTCGGAGTCTTCTGCAGGAGATTGTCTAACGTTACCTATAAGAGCAACCGTACCAGTCGTTGCAATTTGCGGTACTATTTTACTTACGCATAGCGTTTCCATTTTGGATTAATCACTCCTCTCCACACCGGTTCTTGCTATAAGAGTCATAATTTAAGTTACCGTTTTCCACACCGGCCGGAACGCAATACTTGAAATCTACAGTTTTACGTGGTGCTTGCAAACATCGCACTCAAACGTGGATCATTTTCTGGAATTGTTATCTGATTCAAGTGAAGAGGATCTGGATTTAATGAGCGATGTTTTGATTCAGGAACATGCCATTGCGGAAATCGAAGATACGGGTAAACAAAATAGAATTCGTATAGGGGAAAAAAAAACATGTATCGAACGTCTGGCACACGAAGGAGCCGAACATTTGGTGTCAGATTATTTTTCTGATAATTGCATCTACAGGCACGACCAGTTCCGTAGACGTTTTGGCATGAGTATTTTTGTCGTTTATTCAAAGTAGAAACCTTCTGATGCGTTGCTGCCGTGTTGCTAAATTTGTGAACTCACTACTTCCCGAAGTCCGGATTGCTATTTCTCGCACCTGAATAGCAAGTTCCGGTACGTAAGTAGCGTTATGGTAGAGGTTGGTAAATGTGCTTTATTTACACACTGGTACGGTTGCTCTTACGCTGCCGTTTCTATTACAGGGAAAATTCAGCATAATATTTAGGACGTTTGGCGGACGGACACGGATTGGGGCAACATGATTTCTATTGAGATCACTACGTGCTGGATTGATTGTACTGTGCTACGAATAAATTCAAGTTCTCCCGATTTTTCCCCGCCGGCTCTTCTCGTACAGCATGAAAAATGCTTCCAAGAAGGACATTACAGTATGCAGCAAAAGATCGCAAAATACGGTTGATTAGGATAACAATCGCCAAGGTTCGGAAGAATGTAATGATGTCATTCAGAGACAAAAAACATTGTCTCAATCAAGTTCATAGTTCTAAAGGAATATAGTACATCAGCATTAAATAAAATAAAATAATTGGAGTTTCGGCTATGCAGTCTGGATCAGGACTCTACATTTTCGAAGCTCTAAAATGAGCTCGAGTTTTGTTTCTCTCATACAAACGTGTTCAACGCTTCATTTCTATAACGCCTTGCTAGACTATCAGCAACAAATGATAATGAAAAAGAATCACGCTTAGAAGGAAACGCTGGCTGTGGATCTTCTCGTCGTTGCTTTGCTCAACACTTTCAATGTAAGTGATGTCGATTTTCTAGTTAAACGAAACCTCATTATGGCTTTCAATCCCCTTTCACGAACACTCTATCACAGCTCTTTCAATTTGTTTAAAATGCGTTATGTCCCGTTTTCGTTATTTTTTTTTAGATAAATATGTGGATGGAAGATAAATTAAACATATTACGTGTAATCTTCAAGTGTTTTCACGTGAGAAATGCTTTAAATATGTAATTTCATTTTCCCTCATATACGTCATGAAACCTCTGTTGATGTGTTTCATGAAAGAGAAAACTATCAAAGTCGAGCGCTCTTTCCCTCATCCGTTTCACCGAAGCTTGAAAGGAAGACCAATGGAGCAACGGGAGAAAGAGAGACAAGCGATTGAACATTTGTTTGTGCACGCCGACTGAGGTTCTAGAATGCTGCGAAGCTGTTTGACTTTAACAGAAAAAGAAAGCCAGCAGTCTCTTCGTCGCATCGATTTGGTCGATTGAAGCTGATATTCAGACGCCCTGGTCTGGATAGTTCAAACCGTAGCTTAACTGCCCAGCGTTTCGGCAGTTTTTGGCAGCCTTTCTCGGGGGAAATTAATTCTATCGTAATTAAATTTCCCCTGAGGAAAGCTGCCAAGAACAACCAGTATTTTCCACTAAAAAACCGATGTAAACATAAACAAGCACAAAAGTCATTATACATTCAGGATTGCCAAACTCATGGGATATTAACGCCTTGATTGACAGATTTTGGCTCATTCGGCACAGCTTTCGGTACAGCCAAATCCTTCGGCACAGATTAAGGTGTGCAGAGTTGAATACCCCTTGGGCATGCACACTTTAGTTCCAGAACGTTGAGTCCTGGCGATGCGTCTAAGCTCTGACGGATTTCCATGCATGGTTCTTTTTTTACCGCTATAATGATGCGAAAAATAAATGTTTTATTCTTTCGAAGAGATTTCAGTTTGTAAAAGATAACATGCGAATTAAAAAAAAAATATTAAATTTCAGGGAACCTCATTATTGTTTGGGATCTTTATATGCTTTCAGGGTACGTTTTTGAAGTCTCATGACCTTGGAATTGTTCAAGCAATTACGTACAAGTTCAAGAAATTTCATACGTGGAACTTCACTAAAAATCAACGAGAAACGTAAAAGTGCAGCCAACTTTGTAGGAGTTATGAGAATTTCGTAGCATATTGAGAAGCTGCATAAAATTTCATATAAGTGCAGTGAACTCTATAGAAGATCTAAAAATAGTTCAGCAAACTTCTAAGATCTTCAGGGATCCTCGCTTCATCTTAGGGAACTTACTTCAAAAAACATAATGAACTTCTTCCCAGATAGACGAAGATATTAGTATAGTTTTTTGAATATTTGTTCAGGACTTCTGGTTGATCAAGTTGTGAAGATCTCAAACTGTTAGAAATCTTTTTGATGGGCAACTGATCCAACTGGTTCGGGTTTGAAAAATACTCCTGTGTTTATGTAAGCGTGTACCCTTCTTTCCTTTATTTAACGTCGGTCTCTGTTCCGCAATCTAGTGCCAATCACCGACGGACATCGATTGCCATCCATTGACGACAATCGAATGTGCAGGAAGGCAGCTTCCACACCTGCGTAGGATATCGCACCTATTCAATTCAACACACACATGGGCCGGGACCAACGGCTTTACTTCCCTTCCGAAGGAAGACGTGACCAGAGATTTTTATGCCTCAGAAAAATCCCACCGACCTCGGCTGGGGATTGAACCCAGACCCATTGGGGTGTTAGAAAGCAGTCACGCTTACCACTACACCACCGGCGCACAGTGGCACGAATATGAATAAAGACGGTCAAAAATATTTTCTACCCTTTTTCGACGTTTTAGAGACTGGATGTCTTGGGAGAAGTTGCTCAAAATTATAACTCGCATCTTTTGAAATACACACCTGAATAATCTTTAAGCTAGTATTACACATCCAAATTCTAACTTTTTCCAGTTACGAGATAATGGTTCCATGTCTTGGACAAAGTTGCAGAGCAGTTGATTTCATGAACATTTGCTAAAGACACCAAATTTCTACATCATAACTCTGTAGAGTTATAATAGATTTCCTTTTAAGACTACCTTAATATTGGTTTTTTAAGTTAATTAGTGCTTTTTTCAAATTTGATCAATTTATCATGTTCTAAGAAATTGTTGGCATCATTAAAATATACAACTTTGCTGAATACACCAATGCTTTTCATTGACATCCATGTGATATACAGCCCATCAAGCGTTTTTGTGACGTCATATTCAACGGCTCGAAAAGAGGGTGGGCGGGCCCTGGCGGGGTCTAAAACTGGTTGTATTTTGAAGATTACCTTATAAAATAGTACTTCTGAAAATTTCAGCGTTGGGTACTGAGGGGTACCTAGCCAAATCTCGATTCGAAAATGTCAATATTATATACAGCCCATCGGACGGTTTTGTGACACCATATTGAACGGCCCGAAAAGATGGTAGGCGGCCCCTGGCAGGGTTTAAAACCGATTGAATTTCGAAAATTACATTATAAAATAGTACTCCTGAAAAGTTCAGTGCTGGGTTTCCAGGTGTATCTAGTCAAATCTCGAGTCGAAATAGTCAATGTTAAATGTAGCCCATCATGCGTTTTTGTGACGTCATATTCAATGGCTCAAAAATAGGGTAGGCGGGCCCTGATGTAGTCGAAAACTGATTGTATTTGGAAGATCACCTTATAAAATAGTACTCCTAAAAATTTGAGCTTTGGGTACCGAGGGGTACCTAGTCAAATCTCGTTTATGTATATTTAGTACAAGTTATAAACCAATGTGTGCTACGAGTGTGCTACTTACTCATGATAAAATTTACAACTATATAAAAAATGCATTATCTTGAAATGTAATCAATGGGTTTGTTCATCAACTGCATATTCTGAACTTTGATATTTTGAGTATGCCAATATTGAAAAAAATATGTTTTAATTACTCCTTACCTGACTAACTTCGATAATATTTGATTGCCCTTCAAGTCTGACAAATTCCCTTCAATATGGGTGTTCTGGAAATCCAAGATGGTGGCTTCTGGTTACATAGAAACTGGGAGATACTGTCAAATACCCTTCAATATGAGTATTTTTGGAATCGGG